ATTTCATGTATGTACTTCACGGATTACTTGCAACTTATGCTGTGATTGAGTATATGGGCTAGCCCTAGGGCATCCCAATGCTAATTGGACCATATTTTCCATTTTTTTTATTGTATTGTGGCAAATTTTGGATTACTCCTTTGTCCGCGTGAAGTATGTATGTCCCGCGCGTAAGAAGTATCCGCTTTTTTTGGCCCAAATCAATTCATAACAAATTAAAAAATTGCAATTTAATAAAATCTTGAACATTTATGGTTTCTGTTGAAAGAACTCACGCTGGTTCAATTTATACGCCATGTGTAGAAGCTTTACATGGCTCTTCTTCAGATGAAACCAAAATTAAAAAAAATTGTATGCTTACGGGTCGAAAAACACTTAATAAAACCTTTAGTAGACAATTATTGTAAAATAAACCCCTTCTTACTCTTTCGACTGAAAAATCAAAAAAACAAAAAAAAAAAATCGAAAGACATGTTTAAATATTTGTGTTTACGTCTCTTTCTAACATTGCTATTAATCCTGAATTACGCTGTTTAGAAATTGTTGCATATGTATGTACATACCATGCATACATCTTAAAGCCTTGCGAGCTCGTTCTTCAAATTTATTTTGCCATGAATTATAGGTTAACATATCAACACGAAATTCAAAGTATCCATCTGTTACGACCAGGTTACAATTTCCATCTGGGTAGCCTTGTCGACTTGTGCTTCGCAGTCATTTGCGGTTGTAAGCGATAAACTTACACATAATGAACACGACGTATTTATTTTTTGCTTGAACCTATTATACGAAAGAAATTTATGGTCATTTATTCTACAAGATTTTAACATATTCTGCTAGAAGCTGCGATCAGTTTAAATAAGCTGTAACATTATTAAAAAAACTGGATATACATACATATGTATACAAGGAAAGGAGCTATTTGCTAGTTCTCGCGGAAAGGGAGACGTTGATGGAGTTGGAATCGTCTTTAAAAGAAGAGTGTCGCAAATGCCAAATTTAAAAACATTTTTTTACTCAATGCAATAACGCAGATAACAATTTAAAGAGAGCTAAAATGTTTTTTATTTCAACTGCTCACATTAAAAGTTTGTCTCTGTTTTATATATAAGTTCAACGAAAAATTAAGATATTTCATAGCTCCATTCCTTTTTTGCAATGATCAACTGGTAGAAGCAGCTAGGAATGTAATAATTGAAAAAGCCTTATTTGATATTAGTAATATTATCATATTATATTATCAGTTAAATTAGTTCTTTACATAAAGTACAAGGCAAGGATGCATCGTAACCATAAATTTATCTCTTGTTAATCGAGCAATTCTATCGTTTCGGTTTGAACATTTCGAAATATTATAGTTAAAGCAGTTATCAAAATAAATTTATTTTCGTTTTAACTCGAAATAATAAACGCGAAAATTAAAGCGTGCTGTTAAATCACAGCGAGTAGCGATTTTAAAAGCAACGTTAACGATTTCATTTTGTTGAGTTAATTTTTCTTGTTAGTGAAACGGAGTGATGACGTTGCGTTTGTTGATCATATCCGGTATAAGGTGAATATATTTATCTTGTTACTGAAATTATTTTGTTAAGCTTGTATTTTTGTTGTGATTAATATATATTTTTGAACTTTTTACGTAATAAAACATGCTTAAAATAATTATAAATAATTTTAACGTATTTAAAATTATATATAAATCGATTATATTCAAAATGATTAATTACATTAAAGGTAAAAAACATGAACTAAAAGATATCTTTTAGATAAATCGATGCATAAAATTTTAATATTATATAATTCGTGCTTTGTAACCGCTGAAGCGAGTCTCAGCTAAGCTCTTCCACCTATTTATGGTTTGCGTCTTAATGCTTTTCCAATAAATAGAGGGACCTAGGGATTATCCTAAACCGTCTCCGAACGGTTGATGCATTTTTATTAGGAGCTGTTATTTCTTTTTAGAAATAAACTCGGATGTTGTATCTATTTTGGATATTATTCAGAGCAGGACTTAAACTCTTGCCATTCGGCTACTGCGGCTGTCAATTTAAAGTTAGTCGCAATATATTCCTTCAAGTATTGCTGCATGGGAATATCATAATCGATCATAGATCGATCTCAATAACAGCTTATATGGCTTTTCCACGACATTGTGAAATACATTGTTCGTCCTCTCAAATACGAATTCGTATTACCCCCAGTCACCGGTACGCATATTGAGAGTTTTCGGTTCCGCTTATTTGTTCCATTTGAAAACACATGGAATATGAAAGATTTTAGTATAAGTTAACAAAATCTTGAATTGAATTGGAAATGTAATGGAGGTTTCTTTAATAATTTCTCATTTTTTCTTCTTTAATATACAAATGGTGTTTGGTTTCAAATAAATGTTTGTGTATTAGTGTTTTCATTTATGTTTTTGATGTCTTTTGTTTTGAATCGTCAGATAGTTTCGATAAAATTTCGATAAGGATTAGAGAAGGCTTCGATTTGGTAGTAATTCGCATGGCAACTGAGAATGTATTAACCACTTTTACTGTAATTCGCTCACGAAAAATTGTATGGCGAATTAAATAATTCGGCATGCATTTGGAGGGCGAATTACAATTGAAGAGCGAAACACGTAATTGGGCTGAAATTATATAACGCAATTGCAATTTAACTTATATTATTGATCTCCAGTGAGGTCAATAATAAAATGCAATATGATCTAAAAGACTACATAATAATTATAATTAAAAATTTATTGTCATATCAATATACTCGTAAGTAATTTAATTCAACGAAGTTAATTTCTAAATGGTAGATCTAGAACATGATATCTCTTAAGTCTAATGGTTTCATTGCTTTGATCCAGTAACATTATTGCCAAGGGATTATCATGATTGCTTATCCTGCGTAGGTATGCTGTGCTAAATCTTTTAATTTCTTTTTTAATAGAAGACATATTTAGATCTGAATGGATGGCTTTATTTGTGATGTACCAAGGGGCATTTGTAATCAATCTTAGAGTTTTTCATTGGTATCTTTGCAAAGTTTCAATATTTGAGTTACTAGCAGTGCGCCACAGTTGAATACCATATGTCCATATAGGCTTAAGTTTGGCTTTATACAACAGTATTTTTTGTTGAAGATAAAACGGTGATTTATGCCCGAGTAGCTAAAAGAGTGGTTTAGGTTTTATTTTTCATTGTTTATTTTTGGCTCGTATGTGCTGTTTCCATGTTAGTCGTTTGTCCAAATGCATGCCGAGGTATTTAACGGTATCACTTTTAGGAATAATATTACCATTTAATAATAAATGAGGACTATCCTTTCGCCGTAGTGTAAATAAAATATGTACAGATTTATTAACATTTGCTCGCATTTTCCAGCAGTCTAACCAAATCTGTATCTTATTTAATTCCTCTTGCACTAAATTAGTTGCTTCTATTGGAGTCTCTCTCGATGACAAAAGAGCGGTGTCAAGGCATATGTAGCAATTAATACATTTTATGTTACAGGTATGTCAGATGTAAAAATGGTGTATAGTACAGGAACGAGCACGCTCCCCTGTGGTACTCCAGCATTCATAAATGCTATGTTAGATGTTTCGTTATTTATAATTGCTCTTTCTATCAAATAGAACTTAAGAATTGTATATATTTGGGAAGGAAATATCTTTTTTAATTTAAATAGTAGGCCATGGTGCCAAACTTTATCGAATGCTTGCTGTATGTCTAAGAATGCTGCTGAACAGTATTCTTTACTTTCGAAGGAGTATATAATGTAGTCTACTACCCGGTGGCATTGTTCAGGTGTACCGTGATATAGGCGAAATCCAAATTTTTTATAGAGATAATAGAGATAACAAGCTGATTAGTCTATACGAACTGATTTCGTTCTCAGGGTTGGCATTTTTATGTATCATCACAATTTCAGCACACTACCACTGAGTAGGGAAATGGCCAAGCCTTAATATTGAATTATATATAAGCGTTAGAAACGTAATACCTTTTCTAGGCAAACACTTAGCAACTTTGGCATCAATTTTGTCATATCCTGGTGTTTTCTTGTTATTCAATTTCTCGATTTCGTTACGTATCTCTGCAGGTTTAATGGTAAAGATAATTGACATGGTGCATCAAGGAATTCGAATATTTCAGCGTCGTTGTTATTGCTGCTACTAATAAAAGTAGTGAAGGTTGCTTCGAGATATTTGGCATATGCATTTACGTGCGTAAAAGTCGAGCAAATTCCATAGCGTGCGCTATGACAATTGTAATATCAATGAAGAATAAATATATTGTATCCAAGTGAGAGAAAAAATAACTCTCAGAACGAGATATGTGGTTAATTTTTAGTAGATATGCGGTCTTGCTCAATGAGAAACCCTTACGTTAAGAACAATATATAGTTTTTCCTGAATTGATAATGGCTGGACCGAAATGAAATTCAACTTTATTAAGAGAATCTCGGGACCGATTAATGCGAGGTAATCTTAGTTACGATTCGATTCATATGAAATTAAATTTGTTGGTAGCTTATCGTTTAGATTAACATGCAGAAACTGATTCTTAATAATCTTATTTATGGTTCATTTAGCTTGATTTTTTTTTTACTTTTCTTATCTGAAACCGCTTAGTTTAATTTAAGTAATTTTATGAGAATCGCCTATGTTCTTGTTTGTTCTTACTTGCCAACTACATACCATATTGTTTTCAGCTGATCGAGTTCATATAATTCACATTCAGATTGGAAATATCTACATATATTTTATTATAACTCTTAATGTAATATAGAGGCATGTAATTACGGCGAGGTGTAGTTCGCTGGGTGTGCTAGTGTATATACATATATATAATAGTTAAATATTCAACGGAGTTGAAGTTATGTCGTTGAAAATTATACCGTTGGTATCCATCTTTTTAGAATGTTAACCTATCCAACAAGTTTAGTCGAATTTGAATTTTGATTTGAGGTATGAACATTTCTTTAACTCACTTTTTGTCTTCTTTTAGATGACCCTATTAAAACACCAGTGGAAGACATTGTAGAAATCAGCTCTAAATCAACAACTAGTTCGAAAATTTATAAGAGACAGAAAATCAATTCAAAGCTGCAATTGCGTTTACTTTTAAATCGTCAAACCGATACATATAATAACAAGTGCTCTACTGAAACCACCAGTGATTTTCCATTGAGTTCTCCTACAAATCCATACACTCAGTCAGTTCTGCAGAAAAATTCGTCATCTGGAGATATATTTGAACGAAATCTTGCTTTGCTGACTGCACAAAAGCCACAAATGTCATTAGACGAAAAGATTAATGCATGGAAATGTGACTTAGATCTCAGTGATGTAGAGGACGTGAACAATTTTGACGATATCTTTAAAGGGCATGAAGATTGGCAACAAGGAGTTTTTCGTGACAAAAGTAACAATAATGAGCAAACTACTGATGGACATTATGATATTGATGTATTCCGTAGTAATGTCGTGCGTGGAAAAAATTTTCAAAGAAAAAACGAAAAAATTTCAACAACATCAGCTCAACGACGTGTACGAACCGTTCTAGAATTTGAAGGTAAAAAACTCCAGCAAATGAATTTTTCAAAAAGAAAGGAGGTACCTACACCCACATTTACATCATCTTCAGAAAATGATTTGGTATGTAATATGACGTCTAAGCAGCGGTCTAACCTTATATCACAACAAATAGTGGAAAGAAGCTCGTTTCGCGGAAATACTGAGCATTCAAGTCAAGTATTTAGTAGAAACAATTTACCTGACATTGTAAAAACTAGTGATGTAATACGACCGTACTCTGCAATTGTTGAAAATCAGACACCTAAATCCAAAAATCTATTCTCATGTTTGGGCGTCCCAATATTCAAATAGACAAGGTCAATCAAAACAGTAATAGAAAATCACGCGGTCTTATTCAGATGCGTTTTGATTTTGCGATAGAAAATAAAAGTCAACAGCTCCATGAAAATAGGGATAAATTATTTAAAACGTCTTTATTATAGGTGAATTCCCTTCCGCTGCCTACACCTGTACAGTTAACAATACAAATCCCACCAGCTTTAAATATATCCAAGTCAACGTCAAAAGAAGTCAATAGCTTCAGTTGTAGTAATAATAGTGGTGTTATAATTACATCTTATCAATCGAAGGACACTGAGTTACCAAAGCAGTCAATTTCATCATCACCACACGAAGTTGATCGGTCTTGCTGTACATTTTCACCAAGTTCCACATGCCCCCAACAACAAGAGTTTTGTAATTATTTGGGTTTAACTGGCATGTCCACTGCCAATGCAGTTGCGAGCGCAGTGGCTGATTTAGCTAAGTGTAATTTAACAAGGCGTTCTTTACGTGTACGACGCTTGAAACAACAGGAGAGAAAGGAAAATAATCGAAAGATAACAAAAGACTCTGTTATGAGAAATGAATCTGTCTCAACAATAATTGAAGCAAGGATGAAAGCAGGTCAAATTATTCAACAAAATGAAACAAGGTAAATAAAATGTATCACAAACAAGGAATCCTAACTTGTAGAAATAAGAAATTCTCAGTTTCCATTAATTCATTTTTAAAATTAACTTTTATTTGTGACTATATAATCCAATTCTAATTTAAATTTAAATTAATTAAACTTGACTTAAAATATCCTGGTTCCAGCGGTTACTTTTTATAACTTATGATTACGATGCGAATTCTGGAGCTCACGATAAGCATTAAAATCCTAAATATTTATAGTTCATGATTACGCTAATCGATTCATTGAAAATTTTTCAAGTTATTCAATATTTCCATTGACTACATGTAGATGGCGCACCCTGTAGATAATTTTTCGAAAATTACGACTTTTTTATGAAAAAATTGTTATACATTTAATATTCAAAGTATTGCCCATCGGAAGCTTCGATGTTTGCCAATCTTTCCGTCAGTTTGTGGATGGCATCCCAAAGAACTTCTCCGGCTTGGAGGTCAAGGAAGAATCGAGCCAATTCCTGATACCCTGTACTGAAGTGAAGCGTACTCCGGTGAGGGCATTCTGCGTTGACCTGAACAAGTGGTAATCGGAAGGTGCTATGTCTGGGCCATAAGGCGAGTGAGGTAGAACTTCCCACCTACAGTTTTGCAAATAGCGTGGCCAAGCGTTGTCATGATGAAAAAATATTGATTCGTGTCTAGTCGCATATTCTGGTCGTTTTTCCGCAATGGCCTTTTTCAAACAAATCAATTGTTTTCGGTAGAGGTCCTCATTGATCGTCTGACCCGATTTCAATAGCTCATAATAGAGCACACCCTTGTGGTCCCACCAAATACATAGCATAACCTTGGCGCCATGGAAATTCGGCTTTGCCGTGGATGTCGATGGTTGGCCTGGCTTCACATACTATCTCTTGTGCTGGGTTATTATAATAAATCCATTTTTATCGCCAGTGACAATCCGATGCAAAAATGACTTCTTTTGGTGGCGCCGCCAATTTCCAAGTTTCTGGATGAATCCTAATGATTTTAATCGCCTGCATATGCGTCAAGCAATGTCTTCAATTCTTCGTCTTCAAATTTTTTTGTCTATCCGGGTTTTTCTCCGTCGTCTAAGTCGAAATTGCCTCTTTTAAGCCACTTTTGGCATGCTCGTTCGGCTAAAGCATGGTCACCATAAACGTCCAGTAAAATACGATGGCTTTCGGTAGCACTTTTCTTCATGTTAAAGTAATGAAGAAGAGCGAAAACACTTGATCTGGTACAAATTTCGACATTTTGAAATGAATGAAACAAATTGTTGTTCACGCTAAAACAAATGGCATCTACTGAAAACAACGCGAAATGACAGTACTTTGAAATGAATATAGCCACAGATCAATACGACGCGAAATAATACTAGTAGAGCCCTCTTTTAGAAAACCGCACGAATTAATGCATACACGTACACCCAATACATGTTGAATGCATTTATACTGAAGTTGACATAGTTTACGAATTTTTACATTTTCTGATTTCCTTTATGATTTTTAGTCTACAATATACAGCCTTGGCCAAAAGTATTAGGCACCCCACCAATTTCTGATTTTTTTGTTTTAACAAGCGCAGTAATGAAGTTTCATACAATGAATTAGCGATAATAACATTAATATTTAGTAGGTCCACCCTTTGATTTAATAACGGCAGCAATTCTCTTAGCCATGCTGCATACAAGCTTTGCACATTCGTCCGCACTTAAAGCGTACCACTCGTTAATTAAGACAGTTTTTGATATTATACTGTGTTCCTTAATCTTGCGTTTTAAAAGAGCCCACTCTACACTCAATGGGATTAAGATCTGGAGACTGTGCAGGCCAATCTAACAAAGCAATGTTGTTATCTCTAAACCAACGCATCATAGTTGCTGATTTGTGGCAAGGAGCATTGTATTGCTGAAATGTAACCCCTTCTAAACTAGTGTCGGCGAAAATACGCCTTAACGAATTCAGAAGAACAGCTTCTAATTCATTTATGTACTTTTGACTGTCCATGCGACCCTCGCAAACGAACATTTCGCTGACACCATCAGCAGCCATGCATCCCCAGATCATAATGCTGCCTCCTCCATGCTTAACAGTGATATTCTTCCGCAACTCGTCGCCTCAAGAACGTCGCACCAGGTGTTGCAAATATCTGTGGAAAAGAAAAAATAACGTTTTTATAAGATTTGTATTATGTCTTCCAAATAGCTCTAGGGTAAGAAGCTATGGCTGATAATACTTTAAGACGATCTTAACTAAGCTTACCTCGAAGCTTGATTCATCAGACCACAGTACATTCGAGCCCATTCCAAACGATTTTTCCTATTATTTTCTGAGAGGCTTTACATCCCCTTTAAACCTGTTTCGCTGTTCGAGCACTAACTGGTTTAATTAATTCATCCGAAAGGGCAGCTGTAAGGGCAGAAGAAGATTTTTTGCGATCCTTGAGAGACTCGCGAATAAATATTCGGTCTTCTCGTTTCCTGGTTAGACGCTTCCACTATTTGATTTATTATTGTGGGATTTCGTCTCCACAAATCGCCTGATAGCACATTGGACCGCACACCGCGAACATCCCACCAAATTGGCAATCTCAACGTGAGACTTCCCTTCATCATATAGAACTCGAATTCTAACTCTATCATCGTAACTAATTTCACTTTTTTTAGGCTTTTCGGTAAATATGAAGTGTTTTTATAAGATTGGTAACTTTTCACGAAATGTAATTTACACTTTCACTATCAAATTTTAAATTCGAAAATATTTTATGAATTTCTTAAAAATTACAATTTTTAGGTTTAGCTTACCCAGAGTGCTATGACTTTTAATATTACCCAAATTATTCGTTTCACCAACAGTTAAACACCTAAGTAAGACATTTAAACATAGAAGTGGTTATTTTGATAGCCACATTTGAGAATACTTGTATTTTAGTGGGGTGCCTAATACTTTTGGCCAAGGCTGTATTTGCATTTATATTTTATTCTAATATTTATATCTTAGTGGAAAAATGTCTCATCTACCATCAACACACGATGATATCCATGTCGGAGAGAGTCCAAAAATGGTTTCGCCCTTTAGCGGTCACAGTGCAATTGAAAAGCGCGAAAACTCCAAACTTAATAAAGAAGTTCCAGTGCCTGTACACAAAAAATTATCTCGACATTATAATCAGCATGTTACAAATTCAAATGATAATTCGACGTGTCCGCGCTCATCGATAAGTGAAGTTTATTGTGATGGAATTAGCAGCAACCCTATGCCTAATGTACCGCAAGAAATCCAAAACAAATCACAAGCAAACTACATAATTTCACCTAAGCAACACAGCACATATTCTTCTTTTAAATATATTCAGACTGCTAAAAGTGCACAAGATTCGGATCGCATTAAACTACAATTGCATCATAAGTTCAAAAAATATTTAGAAGCATCGCGTAAACTTAAGCCCAGTATATACATTGTACAAAGTCTGCATAACAATGATACGCGGCAGAGCTTACAATCTGAAGAAAATTGCTTCGCAGAGGTAGAAGTAGAAAATACATCTTTAGAGAAAAATATTCTCAAAAATAACTCAAGCGCTTTATATAACGTAGAAGATAAAAACAAATCTAAATTACAAGATAAGCAATTATTGCATCTAAAGAATCGTCAGGTCTCAAGACAAAAAAAAAAGAATGAACGATTACGCAAATTATTAGCTGTTGCCACACCTTGGCATAGAATAAAAAATCAGCGCCAACTTCGCAATCGAAAAATCTTCTTGGTGAAAAAGATAAAAGCGACATCAAATAAAATTCTAAGGCCAAAACGGAAAGAAATTAATATAGATCAAGCAGAACATTGCAGTGTAATCTCACTTGTAAATAGCGATACATCTAAAGCAAGGAATTCAAAATTAAAGAAAGAAAAACTTCAAGAATATAAAAGCAAACATAGAAATCTTCTTAATAGTCGTTTACGGTCTAGGAGCACGACCTCGCCCGCTGATACATCTACTGAGAATCAAAATACAAAATGTATGAACGAAAACCCGTCGCTAGAACAACTATGTAAACAATCTAAATCACACGGATTTAATCAATCTACGAAATTAAGCAATAACGTGGAAGTAAATCTGAATGTATCGACTCAAGAACACGAAACTGTTGTTGTCTCATCAACAACCAACAGCTATGATGAAGCGATGTTGCTCAAACTAAATAATCCTAGCCGCACATCACATGAACTTAAGTCAATACAGGACGATATTTTGCCCAAAGATAACAATACACAAAGCCCTGAACCGCTAGGTATACATTTCGTTAGTTCGCCTAGCAAACAACTTCAGAATCCTGTGAAAATTTCATTTGGACGCATTGATTACATTTATTATGAAATGGATGTGCTAATAGTGGTTCAGGAGAAGCTTGTTAGTTTTTGGAAGTATTTTAAGCTAATTAATGTTTTAGCAGAATCACAGGCATACGGAAAATGTAATTTTCGATTAAGTAATGGTGCTATAGGCTTGCCTAACAATTCTTCTTCAAGTGATCCATCACCTACTTGGTTGTCGTTGGGGGATTGTCGTCGGATTACCACCGGTGAGTTAATTTTTATACTTTATCCCTCTAGTCTGAAGTAATTTCGAAAATCGATTTCTGACATCTTAGTGTTGCCAAATTGTATTTTTTATTCATATCCTCGGCATTTACAAATAGCCGCCAAATCATTCAACTTTTGCAAAGAAAGTACTTTGATTAATACAAATTTAATAAAAATCAATTAGCGTAACAATTGGTCATCTAATGGCTTTTAACACCTGAACTTTCTTATTTGTTTAGTGTTGTTATTTTTGCCGCAAAAATTATACTTCAAAGCAGTTTTTTGGTGAATGTTGCTTAAGTCCTTGGCCGATTAAAAATCCGGGTCGTTCCGTTATAAAGACCTTATTGTCGCGGGAACTTTTTGGATTTTAGTCGCCTCGGCAAAAGTTTTGAGCCCCGCAGGCCGCAGGGTGTTTAATAATATGTAGCTATGTACATATATCCAGTTATAATTCATAATTTATTCCCATTATAGATATGGAAATATCAACATCATATGCTAATCGTATTTGCGTCCATAATTCTATGCCGATTTACGTAGAAATGCGGTGCCGAGCTATACCACATGAGCGGCGATATTGTAATCTTTTGTCTATGTACATTAATATTTACTATTTTAATGACGAGGAAATGATCGCCAAAATACACTCAATACAACTAGATACAATACAAGGGTAAGTATAGTGTTATAGTAATCAAGTTATATTCTTTGAATTTAATTTTTTTTTTACAGTTTACCCTCAGATGTTGTCTATACTACTATAACTGAATCACGCTACTTTATTATGTCGTGGCCACAGCAAAATATATTGGGAAAACCTCGTTCAGGCCTTTGTAAATATTCCATAACACCAAATTTAGATACTTTAGCGAGCATACGTGACTTTAAGCATATTCGCCATTGTGTACGATATCTGGAATGTACCACAGGTACTATTTTACTTTATTTGTGATAATTTATTTTTTATATGCTTCTTCACGTATTGCGCAGATGATAAACTTATCGGCTTCGGAGATACCCAGCTAACTGTATGGGATCATCGTAGTGGCGACGTCTTAATGAATTATGAGTTTAATATGAATTTGGGTATAAATTTGGGTTCGATATATTACCCTACCTTGGAAATCGGACAAAATAGTATTCTGCTATTGTTTCAATATACACAGATTTCGGGGGAATCAGAAGGGAATGAGCTGGTGTTTATTGCTTGCAGTATATCACATACGACTCCTTCTCATCGCATTATAAAACGTCTTAGAATTCCCTATTTAGTGTTTGACGAAGTTGGCAGTGCGATAAACACCGGCGATAACATAATTATAACTACAAAAAATGATGAGGAAATTTGGATAAATTGCGCAGATGCAACTACCATAACAAGAGTGCCACCTCAAAATACGAGACGTTTTTATGCACGAGGAAGATCACAAATTATTGAATTAACATCTAAAAGCCTTACGGTTGACTCATTTGCAAATCATGTATTAAAGTTGGCGGCAAATCCAGTAGTCAAAAAAGCGAGTACCGATGTAAAAATGTTGTAAAATAATGATAATTTTTTTTTTCATTGGACATATACATATATATGTATGCCCATAGTTCGTTAACATTAACCTTTCTTAATCATTAATGAAAATTGATTAAAAAACAATAATTTCGCTCATTATTTTAATTAATGTAAAACCATTGCACCCGAATACTGCATATAAATCATAAAGAATAATTTGAATATTTCTCTTCTAGCCTTAAATTTAGTGATCACAATACCGCAGGCAATGCCTCATATAACATTATATGTAGATCCACATACCAAATAAATATAATTCTTCATTGAGAATTGTTTTAAAATATTAATTAAATTTATTCTTATAAATATAAATTCTTATAAGGTTGTCAATGTTTTGCCTGCATTGGCAGTTTAAATTATGGTTTATACAGAGATCATTTATAGAGTAAATTTGGAAAAATTATCTAAAAGTCCACTCCTAATATATACATACTTGTAAAAAAAATTTTACTCCACTTTTACTTTTTTACTTCAAGTTTTTAACAATTAGGCTGCTGTTGTTGTTGGTTCATCCCGTCTGGTTGTTTTTTCGCGCAAATAAAAAAAGTTTATTTCTTTTTTTTTGCCCAACAAAACGGTTGAATTTTCCAAAATATTTAAAGTTTGACGTTGCTTTATTGCTTGAAAGTTCTTCGATCAAACGAACTTACCTGAGTGAAGTTCGATCGTAATTATACCAGCTGTCTCGTCCGCAAGGATCAACAATAACTTGTAGTAATGCCAGTAGCTTTATTTAGTCCCAACATTTCATAATTCTCAACGAATTCTTCAGTGGATTGAAGAGCCCAGATACAGATCGATCATGTTGTGGTAGACGGAAGACATGTCTCCAGTGTTCTTAACGTGCGTTCGCTCCGAGGACCCAACAGGGATTCGGACCACTATCAGTAGCAGTTGTAGCAGGAAGGATACACACCCGCCTCTGAGCATCAAAGTACTCCCGTCGACGCCGAAAAGCTGCAATTACAACATACAGCGCACGGTTTTCTACTGCTGTGTCGCATCGGAGCGAACGGAGAGAACGCCTCCTGAATAGCAATGAAATTGTAACACCATAAGATCACGCACCCGATTCACCAATTGATAACACAATGTTTCATTAAACGACTACGAAGAAATTCGAATAACAATCGACGGCTTAAAAAACAACAAAGCAAACTGATCAGGTGTATGCATCAGCTACTTTGCAAAATATGGTCGGACGATTGGAATTTAAGTGTGCTCAATCTGATTGATTCTTAACAGTGTGGCTTTAGACCTGGTAAGTCCACCATTGACCATATATACACAAAGTGCCAAACAGTGAAAATGACCCGTGAAAAGACGATCGACACACACCACCTCTTCGTAGATTTGAAAGTAGCTTTCGCCGCTATGATACAGCAGTACCAAAAGCTCCGTCAGGATCGGGAAGGACCTTTCTGATTCCTTAGTGTGACTTGTTCAATTGATGACGGAGACAATCTTCTACAAGAGCGTTCAGCTGCTGGCGTACAAGCGAGCCGTGAGTTCTGCAGTCTCTAAACTGAAAAAAGAAGCAAACGATATGGGTCTGTAGTAAACGAGGGCAAGGCGAAATATCTCCTATCATCAAACAAACAGCATTCGCGACTCAGCTTCAACGTCACTGTAACTGAATCAGCTCTCATATTGTTTCCAGTTTCTTTCTATCGGTCCTTTGTTACACAAAAACAACTTTAACACATTTACTTACACGTGGTTTTCATATATTTTTCGTACTGGGACAAATGTGGTGTAATAATGATCACCAGCGCCTTCAGCATTGGGGCCAATCGGTTTTCCCCCGTTGACAATCAGTTCTCATAAAAAAGAGGCGTCAAATTTGTCTCAATTAAAGAAATTGCGTGACTTTGCGAAGTGAAATGCTAATTTCATGAAAACTTAAATTCTGTATAAGGCACAGTTTATGCCTCTTACTTATATATTCTCTAAAATAGTCTTTCTTTTGCGTAAGAATTATGGTCCTTTGCGGGCTGTCGACGGCGAATGTCGCAGACGATACAACGATCAGCTATACGAGTTATACGGCGACATTGATTTAGTCCAGCGATTCAAGAAGCAGCGGCTACGCTGGATAGGTCATGTGGTCCGAATGGATACGAATACTCCAGATTTGAAAGTTTCCGATGCAATACCCGCCGGTGGAAGCAGAGGAAAAAGAAGACCTCCACTTCGTTGGAAATACCAGGTAGAGAAGCACCTGGCTATACTTGGTATTTCCAATAGGCACCAAACAGCTAAAAAAGAAACGAATTGCTCAATGGTGTTAATTTGGCTACAATCGTATAAGCGTTCTCTAGTACAATAGAATATAAATAGTTATTTTAACAATTACATTAATCTTGAAATTCTATTGTAATAAAAAAAAAGAAATCCTCTTATTTTCTAAAATGAAACTCATATTCCATACAATGTTTCCCTCATGCCCCAAAATACAATACAGATAATTTCTTCAATTTTATTCACAGAACTTTAAATAAGCAGGGAGGCACTATTCTCGTTAAGAAAAGCATTTGCACAACCCCTTGTCCCCTCCACATTCCGTTATCCTTTCCCTAGCCGCAGAAATTCAATCTTCATAAGAAATCTCTATATGTGCTTATCCCCCACCCGACCAATGGTTCTCAACATCCGATTCCCTCAATTTCCTTTTTTTTATCTCTAACCCATTTGTATCATTTGACGGCTTTAATACGTGGAGCACTCTATGAGCCTCACCTCATACGAACTTAAAAGGCTAAAGTTTTGAAGACGGCACTCTAATCTCAAATTGTATCATCCTTAACGACATTTCTGCTACACACTTTTCAACTCATACCACTTTCACCCACATAGACCTCCCCTGTTGTTTTCCTTTCTTTACTAAAATGCCCTAGTGTTGTACGGTAGTGGGCGTGGTAGTGGTAGCTATTCCCTATCTCCTCTAACGTAAACCAACAATCCTCTCGCATCGAAAAAAATACCCGTATATCAGCAAACAATTCCATTCCCTAATACTTTTCTAAAGCAGCCCATTTGGCACCACGTTGGTAGAACAGTGAATTTAGTGCACTAAGACAACAAAAACAGCTTGCATGGCACGAATTTAAATGTAACCGTTTAGTCACCAATTTACTAAAATAGAAAAAGATTAACACTCTTTTCCGTCGTCCTTCGCCCTTCACTTTTCAATGTTTCCTCTAACTCAAATTTTCCTCCAGAATTTGCCGAAAGCAAACATTCAACTCTTAACACCCCCTATCAACCAACCAACCATTATCAAATATCTATCGAGTAAGCGCTCGCTCATCGGCCGGCTCTACTGATAAACCTAACCTACGTATCATCTGATCTATAATATTTCACCTCCACCCTAAGAATCATATCAATATGCTTGCTGCACCTCATCACTCTGCTGTTCGCCGCACTATTCGCGCATTACCAACGTCTCCATTAAACAACATTTTATCGGAATCTGGAGTACCTTCTTTAAGGGGCAACTAGAAAGACTGCCTATGTAAACTGTATCCAAAACTTATCCTCAATCGTCAACATCGTCTTGAAACAGGATTTTTATCAGCCTTATCCAACAAACGCTCGCCAAAGGTACTATCAATCAATTTACAAATGAGCATTATTGACATACATACCTAAATTCGGGTTCGGTGTTGCGTTTGCTAACGCCAATGAGTAGCAACGCGCGCTATCCCTAAATAATAGTGCTAACGTTTTGGAGTTTTCTCATTCTCTAGAATGATTCTCACTTAATATTTTTATTTCAACCAAGATACTAAGAAATTATTCGGCCGGCAAAAGTATGTCTCCACAAGTTGAATTAATTTTTCAATGAATATTTGTCATCTTATTTGCAAAATACAATATACTTATTTATTTGTCAAGCTTCTCTCATTTTCTCCTCCGCTTCGTCAGTTTTTTCTACCTTCACACTCTTATCCTTAACATCTAACTTTATCATATAACCCGCTGTCAAAATTGATAATTCCATTTGCTTAGCCTTGACGCCGTGTTAATGTGGAATGTCATTCAAATTGTATGGCCATGAGCATTTTTGACAGTTGTGTAACGCTCAACTCTCCAATTTAGGTATAGCGAAGGAAAGTGCGCTGCCGCAAAAAATCCCATCATTGCCGCAGTCAGAGTATATAAAGAACATATTTCCTATGGGCTGCTATTTTCATTTTGCTCAATATTCGCAGCTGAAGCAACAGCAATCTAAAAGCTGTTCAATACTCAAAACTAAATAGAGGAAAATACATAATCTGAAAGACAGTCTTTCATGTTTCATGATGATTAAAAACCCTAAAAACTCAAACTACATTATGAGTGGAATAAGAGCCGTTCATATCCTTCCGCAACAAACTCAAATTAGTGTGGACTGCCAGTCACACATGGCTGCGGACGCAATCGCTAAAGAAATGATGCTCACCCCTACCATCACCTCTCCATAATTTATAAAAGGCGATATATAACGACTAATCAAACAGGATTAACCCAGCCAGATTTTCCGTAACCATGTCATCCAATTTAACTACTTCGTACCAGAGAGCTGCAATGCGTATACCATTTTCGCTCACACTTGAATCAAAACTCTGATTTTCTTTGATTCAAATTCTATGGTACGAGTTCGAGTGTGTAGTGAAATAGCCAATTGAATGTAAGCATATACGTTTTAAATATTCGATTGCCGTTGGCTTGCAATTTGTTGACAAACGAGTAACAACGAGTATATCTTACTTGTTATATGTACTTATTCTATTATTCTTTTTTGCATGTTGGTCTTAGCTCAGTGTGTGTCGTGATACAGATTTTCGCATCTTTTATTATGGCACAAGAAGAAAAATGTAAAAATTCTAAAATGTAGAAATTCAAATGTGCATATACGCGTACAGATGTATTTTTTTTTGTACAAAACTTTTAAGACTGTAACGATATATAATACTATTTTTTTCTTTGTGTTAATTAACTAAACCTTTTTGGAAAATTAATTACTTTTACTATGGAATACTTTCATAATGTTTTTGGAATTTAAGTATTTATTTTTATGTAAGGTATTACATCAAAATATATAATATAAATATTTGTTATAAAGAGTAAAAATTATTTTTTTTTCATTTTCAAAGTGAAAGTATCAAAAAAAAAAACATTGCGTGCATATTACAAAATTTAGATTAAAATGATTTTTTTCGCTATTATTATATACTGTAGTATGCGCAATACATACATTTTAAAATTTTTTCCTAATGTAATATTTTTGCCTAGATGATGGACGCTACGGCGCCCACATGTCTGCGTTTACCTTTGTGTATACTCGATTGAATACGCGAGTGTGCACTCGAGACTATACTCGCATTTTTTTTCTTTTCGATCACATTAAATCAGGCACAGCCAAAGCGAGAAGTAAGATATGCGTATAATATATCAAATTTCATGTTATCTGCACAAACTCGAATGTATATTGAGTCTCGTTAATGATTGTTTCCAACATTTCTGTTGCTTGTGTGCCACTCGATCCAACACAAAGTTGCCGAGTGTTGTGATTGAGTTGTACCAAATTTTTGCTAGTGGGATTGAACAGGCTCGAGCGCTCCCATTGCAGCTCTCTGCTCCGTACATCAGACTTCGCATCGGTCAATTCAGACCTATTGAACGACAGTCTTCAAAATTAGTGTCCATTATTATCGCCTGTCCCTCTGGAAAATTCAAACGAACCACTTCAAGAACGAAGATCCGGTTCAATTTGACCATTGACTAGATATTACCATGCGTCGAATCTTGGTAAAGACCTGTGAAAAGAGGATCGACACACAATCCCATCGTCGATTTTAAAGCAACATTCGACGGCACGAAAAGCCTTTACGCCGCTATGTCCGAATTTAGTATCACCGCAAAACTTATATGCTGTGTAAACTGATGCTAGACAAAACCAGAAGCGTAGTCAGAATTGGAAAGGACCTCTCCGAGCCGTTCATTACCAAACGAGATTTCAGACAAGGCGACTCCCTGTTGTGTGATTTCATCAAAGAAACAGTCATCCCATTCGCCACTTGGCTCTCACGTCACTGTTGACAATAATAGCTTCGAAGTCGTGAATAACTTCGACTGTCTTGGAACCAGTATTAACACCAACAACAATGCCAGCTTGCAAATCCAACACAGAATCATTCTTGCCAACAGGTGCTACTTTGGACTGAGTAGGCAATTGAGAAGTAAAGACCTCTCCCGACGAACAAAATCCAAACTCTACAAGTCCCTCAACGATGAATACCGCAGACGATGAAACGTTGAGCTGTACGAGCTATATGATGATATTGACATAGTTCAGCGAATGTAGAGACAGAGGCTACGCTGGCTAGGTCATGTGGTCCGAATGAATGAAAGCACTCTATCTTTGAAAATATTCGATGCAGTACCCGCTGGTTGAAGCACAGAAAGATGAAGATCTCCACTCCGTTGGAAAGAACAGGTAGAAGAGGACCTGGCTACTTGGTATTTGAAACTGGTGTCAGATACCGAAAAGAAGAAAAGAATGGCGCGCTAATATTAATTCGAGTCAGTCGAAAGCCGATGTTGCTAGCGCTGCGTACTTTAGTTTATATACGATAATAAGATTTGGTTGCTTTGCTTTAATAAATACATTTTAAAAAATGTAAATACAATACATACACATGTTTCCTATGAATTATTTTTTGATCTGATTGTAATAAACATTTTGTAGTCCTGCTCTGTTGTTAAATCATCTATAATTCATATATGTGTATATGTAAATTGAAGAATTATTTGTTACACATAAATTTTTTTAAATATATAAAGTATAGCTATAATGCTTCAAATCGCAGTAAACTTGTTCAATTTGATTTCTGATTCCTCTTCTATTTCTCTTTTCACGTTTTGCCTCATAATGTGTACGTAAATCCAATGGTGGGTTTCATGTGGGTGTTGCCGTCTTTTTCTTTAAAGTTCAGTTGGTTTGGTTTACGTTTATATGATATCAAATGGATAGTCTCGTTTCTGAGAGCAAGACACTAATAACTTTTAAGCATATCATTCCTTTGGCTTGGGACATATGTAGAATATTTTTATATTTTCCATTGCGGCATTTAGTATCAAAATCTGTGGCAAGTCTTCTGTGCAGGAACAGCTGTCGTAATTGTCGTCTGCGATAATGCTTAACCTTTTCATTGTGTCTTTGGCGAACGTGTGCCCAGAAAGTAAACGGTTGGTAACTCTTACCTTTTTGTTGTCAGCAGTTTTAGGAAACACTAAAAATTATATTTCTCTTGCTATTTTATTTTCATCCTTCTTTCGACTTCTTGAATTGGGCCTGGAATCGGCCATTTCGTTGTTTCTTGTATACCGTTTTGTTGTGCATTCCTGGCTAGGTAGTCTACTACTTCATTTACGTGTAAGTTTCTGTGCCCTGGTGTATAATGGATCTCAACCGAATTTATGTACCTTTTCTCTATTGTTTCCAGTAGGTTATGCACAATACTGGTAATTGAGTCCGGGTTGCTTAGAGCGATGGCTCCCGATTTGCTATCTGTTAGTATCGCTATGTTGTGTTCGCTATAAATGGTTACAAATTCTATTGCTTTTCAAAAGACTCTTAGTGCTGCCGGCATCTATGTCATGTTCTTACTGGTGTAGAATGCTTTGGATGTGTTGGTTCTTTCATGAGCAAAAGCGGCTTGAGTGCAGTGTTCCTTACAGGAACCATCTGTAAAGAACATTTCGGAATGATTATTTTTTTATTATGGTATCATTTGTTCTATTTTATTTTTAACCGTTCCTTTAAAAAAAAAGTCTGTCAATGATGACTTTTTGTGAATTTGTTTGTTAAGTAGGTGCTGTTTCCATGTGCATTAGTACGTCTTTGAATTCCTGGAATGTTTGTGAATGGCTTATTGTGAACTTCAAGTTTCGGTTGAGGAGGAGTTCGAAAGATGGCAGTCTGTAAGCGCAAGTTTTACTTAATTCTTTGGCTGTTGCAAGTCTTTGAATGTATTCTGTTATTGAATATATTAGTTCAAGGCATTTTCTAATCAGGTTGTTATTGCAGGTCAAAAGAGATTCTACTGCTCCTTTGGATAAGTTTGCAAAAGATGATGCGGCATATTCCATTTTCGATCTAAAACTGGATTGCTCTTGAAGGTGAGATGCCAAAGGTGCACCAATAATAGTCTTTAAAAAGTTGCATTTTACATTGAATTTTTCACGTTTTTGCTGTATGTATTTTGTTTGAGTAGTTCTTGCTCATGTACCTGTCCAGTTATTTTATGGAGTTTACTTGTTCAAGGCTGGTATTGTTGATTCGTATCTGCAGCTACTTATATTTATTGTTAAAGTGGATTGCATTGCTTTTACGGAAGTTGATTTTTAAATCCAGAACTGTGCATATGTTGTAAGCTCTTCTAGTTTAAATTTTAGTTATGATTCAGATACATCAAAGGACTTGCTAGTTGATACCAAGAAAAAATTATATGCAAATAGAAATAGCTAACTTTTGTCGTTCGTGATTGTGTGAAGCTGGGCTGTATAGATGTTGAAGAGTATTGGACTGATACCGCTACCTTGCATTAGACCCTTATTTATCTCAACTTTGCTCTCCCCGTGTATTTCCTAATTGATTTTAACTTATGCTTTGGGATGTTGAACGTTTTTTCCGAAATGCATATGTTCGAGGCGGTAGGATTTCAGGTACTTCCGTGTGAGTGTCCAGGTATATATGTATCTTTCCTTCAATTGATTTGTGCAATGTTGAGCGGAATGCTATTGGCCTGTGGTTTTCGATGTCTGACAACCCTTTCTCTGGCTTCAATATGGGTCTGGTATTTCTCCGCTATATATATGTATATATGTATTTACTTGAGTTGAATCTATTTATTTATTAAACAATTTGTTTAATCAATGAAAAAAATTAGCAGTTTTATATAAAAACATTATGCCNTTCCATTTTTTTTATTATTTTAGTTTAATTTAGCTTCGTAACTACAATAGAATTTAAATATATATATTAATATACTTATGTATATATGTATAAACTTGCACTCATTTATGTATATGCGTTTCAATGTACAAATGTGATCTCTTTGGGCTACTGTACTTCATTAACTTGGGTTGCTATAAATCTTTGTATCTACACACAAAATCTGTGTAAGTATAGGTATGTGCTACCTGACTCTGCTTGTACACATCTGCCACTTAAGGCCGGATCTTTGTACTACTTTACTTTTACTAAAATACATATACAAGTGTGTGTATGCGCAATTTTTTATGTAAAAGGCTTCATATAGATTGTTCTCTAAAACTTTTAATATTGCCTTTACCCAGTTATAACTTTGCTGAGCTTCTCTTCATCGAAAACTCGAAGAATCTTTAAGTAGCATTGCAGTCATTCGGCTTAAAGCATCAATAGGTTTTATTTTCGTTGCCGGCCCTTACCCAGTTATCACTTTGCTGAGCTTCTCTTCATCGAAAACTGGAAGAATCTGCAAGTTGCATTGTAGTCATTCGGCTTAGAGCATCAACATGTTTTATATAATCGAAATCTTGAAGGTACATATCCCATCCACATCTTTTCTTCATTGTTAAAGCGAACGCATTACAATCACTTACAATTTTAAATTTTTTTATTAATTGCATAAATTCGCCACTTTTTTAAAGCATGTATTATAGCGAGGACTTCTAACTCATCCGAGTGATACTTTTCCTCTTCGGGTATAGTTTTACGACTCATGAATTGTATGGGGTGGAATTGTTCATATATCGTCCATATATACTATAATAATACCTTTCTGAACCATATCCCATATATCAAATCTGGATCACGTTTTTCACCAATCAAATCATTTTGTATTCAAAGAGCAGTAAATTCATTATACAGAGGATTATGTCTTTCATAGCAATTGGCATTCTGTACTATATTTTCCGAAGTATTCACAATCCTACCCTTTTTTAAACCTAGCGAAACCTTCTAAAACCTCTACTACCTGCTACTTTCAATATATCATTTCCTAAAATGGCTTCGTACCGTAAATCATTAGTCCTGGCTACGTGGAACGTTACATTTACTACGAGGTTATCGACCTTTATTTCCCTCATTTAACTGCCTATTGTTGTCAGTTTACTGTTTTTAATATCCACCAATTTTCTTTTATTACAACTTTGCTGTGGACAACGCAACTTTGCAAACATATCATACTCAGTAAACTTAGATCAGCTCCCGTGTCAACCATAGCGACAACGATGATGTCACCTATCACAACGTCTTTGTAAATGAAACTACTACCTATGTGCCATGNCTTTCCCTTTACGAACCCAACACCCATTATTTAAAATTGCAAATAATGCTTTAGTCGATTTACCTGCACGTGTTAATATTTCAGCTTGATGAAATATTGGATCATTATTAGGATTATGTTTAATCCATGCTTGACAAAGAAGCGAAGCGAAATATCTCCCGTCATCAAACAAACAGTCATCGCACTCGCGACTTGTCTCCCATGACACTGTTGAGGATCATAACTTTGAAGTCGTAGATAATTCTATCTATCTAGGAACCTGCATTAACACCAAATCCAGCGCAGAATTGCTCTTGCCAACAGGTGCTACTTTGGACTGAATAGGAAATTGAAAAGTAAAGCCCTCTCCCTGAAATTGAAAAGGAAAGCTAAACTCTACAAGTCACTTATCGTTCTCCCCGTCTTGCTATATGTTGCGGAAGTATGGACGATGACAATATCTAATAAGACAGCGTTAGGAGTTTTCGAGAGAAAGGGTTTGCGTAAGATTTATGGTCCTTTGCGCATTGGCAACGGCGAATACCGCAGACGATGGAGCGATGAGCTGTACGAGTTATACGGCGACATTGATATAGTTCAGCGAATTAAGAAGCAGCGGCTACGCTGGATAGGTCTTGGATCGAATGGCGTTTTGTTGTAAATCGGCTTTAATCGCGTAATCTTGTATGTGTAATATATGTAATCATGGATTTGATTAATATTTTAATGTTACAAAAATATGTAAAAGAATTATTTTTTTATCTGATTGTACAAAATATTTTGTAGCCCTGAAAAGGGCTTATTGTTTGTTGTTAAATTATCTTTAATCCAGATATATTATAAATAAAAATGTACATGTAAATAAAATAATTATTTTTTAAATATTTCTTTATTAACGGAAGTTTTTTTGGCGACTTGTTTTTTGTCAGCTGTTTGTTTTTTGGGTTTGGCAGCGGCTGATTTTGCTTTTGATGCCTTCAGCTTGGTTGCTGTTAATCAAGTTTTTGCCGCTTCAGCTTAAACACTATCAGTCCTTTTAACATCCTTCGCATTAGATTTTTCATGTTTCTTCTTTTCTGCAGTTTTCTTAGCGACAACAGCTTTTTTCACTTTTTTCTCACCACTTACCTTCTTTGCACCACTCGCCAATTTCTTNAATTCGCCAAATAGAAATGCATATGATTTAATGAATACTGAAATGAATCGTGAACTGAAGTACAGTACTGTAGAAATGGCAGCGATTGTTGCCCACAATGTCCCACTAATGAATGAGGAACAAAGAACCATTTATGATCGCATTATGCTCGCAGTTTCAGCTGCACAAGGTGGGTTCTTCTTTTTGAATGCACCGGGTGGAACTGTTGTAGCTGCCTATTTAGCAACGACTTTTTTTTATCAGCAACAGCAGTAGCTCCAGCGGAGAGCTAACATTGTCAACAACAACTGTATCAGACTGTTTAAGTATAATTGTAAACACCGTGCATGCCACTTTCCGGTTTCCCGTTCTTCCGTGTATCCTTTCACGCGGTTATTCTACTTTCGTGAAAATAATAATTTAATTAATTAGTTCAAGTCAAACTTAGGGCAACTTAAATATTATCCTTCGAGGCCAAAACTTGACCAGCCCTATATAAAAGAGACTTACAGTCCACAACCGTCGCTTCCCCGTGAGTTCATTTTCAAAAAAAAAAAAATCTATATATTATATATATTAAAGTGCTGTGCAGTGCAGGATCAAACTAAAAAAAATATATATTTTTTGTAAATATTCTAAAATAATAAAGTGCGAAATTCATATGCATATACACATGTCGTAGTGCACACATACATAAAAAAAGATTATTTTAAATTTCTTAATATGATAAAGTGGTGACACATAATTTACATTCAAACATACACATACCAAAGTGTACACACACATCCAAACAAAAAAAAATAATAATAATAATTTTTCAAAGAGAAAACATACAAAAAAAAATTGATAAAATTGTTAATTAATTAAACAAAAAGAAAAGTGTACAAATCCAAGTGACAAACATATACAAAATATAATTTGAAAAAAAAAAATTAACCAAAAGTGCGAAATCAAATATACATACATACCATAGTACACATATACACACATACAAAAAAAATTTTACAGTAGTGTGAAAAACAAAATCACAAAAGCAAGAACACAACAACAACAAATTCAACTACAAGAGAGGTACAACAACAAGTACCTGCAGCACCAGCATAAGGAAATCCCCTTCACAAACACACACACACAGAAAGAGGAGGATTCGCATACCAAGAAAAAGGGAAGTAAAAATGGCTGCCAAGTAGTAAGTTGCAAACTTTTTAATTTCCTTTAAAAGGGTATACTCTATTAGCATTCTTCCTTTAAAACTGCAAATAGGTTTGCTTTTGTAAGACGGATTTTCGCTCCCGCCAAAAACATTAAAATTGAAATTTAATCCGCTAATTCGAGCGAAAAGCGGTTCTTCTTGCCGCTAATATTTATTTAATTCTCGTCGAAATNGCTTCCCGTCGAAAAGTGCACTAATGAATTATCTAATTTCAGAGAAATTCAAAATGGTCCGAGCCAACAACAACAACCAAGTGAGGGAACAAAGGTGCCCTGTGTGCAACCACAACCACCGGTTGCTCTTCTGTCGACAACTGCGCCGACTAGAACCGACGGAGAGAATGAGGGCAGTCCTCCTTCATCGGCATTATGTCAACTGCCTGTCACCGCGTCACATGGCCAGCAGTTGTCCATCGACGAGACACTGCGATCGGTGTCAAGAGCGGCATGACAGTCTCCTACACCTGTGGGAAACCGAAAGGGGCGAGGAAGACGTGCCGCAGCCCTTAAACGCGGGAGACAGTAGGCCTACTAGAAGACATGACCCGTACAGAGCCCAACTTCTGTTGGACGACTTCAGTGCCGAGGAGGTGCTGGAAAATGATACCAGCGACGAAGACGTTCCCGCAGAACAAAACCAAATTTCAACCCCCCGGTACTCAGACCACCTCTGTCGGGTATCCGGTCAGTGGTCCAACGGCCACCCCCACCGAGAGAAGGAAAAGTGCCTCGCCAAGAAGGCGCAACAACAAGCCACAGAAGCGGCCTCAGGCAGTGAGAGACGCCCGAGAGCGGATCAAGGCCTTTGGCTTGGTTCCTGTTAATCTAGTTTTAACCGCTTCAGCTTTAACACTACCAGTCCTTTTAACATCCTTCGCTTTAGATTTTTCACGTTTCTTCTTTTCTGCAGTTTTCTTACCGACAAGAGCTTTTTTTACTTTTTTCTCACCACTTACCTCCTTTGCACCACTCGCCAATTTCGATGCTGGACCATCGGCTTTTTGCTTTTGGTTTTTTCTGCAGACTTGGTTGATTTTAGCTTTCATTCACCTTCACTTTAGCAGCAGCAGCTGATAATTTAAATGATCCCGATGTACCCTTCCTTTGATTTGAATCAATTTTCTGTTAGCAACAACCGATTTCAAATATCGTTTGATAAATGATGCCATTTTTTGGGCATCACATTTGTATGTAGCACTAACATATTTCTTAATAGCCACAAGTTATGAGCTACCACGTTCTTTCAAATTCTGAATTGATGTATGAACCATTTCTTAAGTTGGTGGAAGGGTAGCAACAGCAGTAGCTCCAGCGGCCACTGGAGAGCTAACACTGGCAACAGCAGCTGTATCAGACATTTTCCCTTTGCTGATTGAAAAATAAATGCACAATTTATTTCTATTAAATATACACTTTAAGTATTTAAAACACTTAATATTGGTTTGAAATTTTGAGAGTTTGATGCCAAATTTTTATTGCCTTTAAAATTTGAGAAGCGGTGTGAAAAGATGAGTGACAAATTTTCATTGCACATTCTATTGCTATTTGCCAATTGCAAATGACAAGCTTTCAACAATATTTAAGTTAAAATTCCTGTATTAACTTAATCAAATAATTCTTTATGTCAATTGTTGCTTAAGTGCTTTTTCTTAACATGTAATCACAATAATTTCACAATAATTAATATTTATCAAAAAGTACGNTTAACATACTAGTGCTTTTTGCCAATCGCAAATGACAAACTTTCAACTTTATTTAATTTATTAAAATTCATGTATTAACTTAATCAACTGTAATCACAATAACATCATAATAATTAATATTAATTAAGTTATACGGATTTTCGTCCAAACTTTGCACCCAAAAAACTCATAAATAGCCGATTAAAGTTGAATTTCTTAAAATTTCTGAATACAAACCATTTACTTTTATTAATCTTCAGAGGCGTATCAAATTTATTAAGTTATTTTTTTGGTTTAATATGATTTATACCTTTTATTTCTACTTATGGACTTATTAACTATCCGTTGATTTTAGGGGGAGTTGTTTCTAAATCTTTTGATCAGGGTTGATCAGAATTTTTAGGGGGTCAAAATTTCTACAGCTATTTAGATAAATATTCTCAATATAGATATTTTATACAAAATAATAATAAAAATTTATCTTATATTATCTATTTTATGAATTATTTTCTTGTTTAGTTTTTTATTATTTTATTTAAGTAGCTTAATTTTAGAGCATAACACTGAAGATGTTAGGGTAATTATTTTAATTCTTAGATATGGTGAATTGTTATTAGTAGTTTATAAAAAAAAATTATTTTTACAATGAAAATGTACCCTCTTAATAAAACTTTATTTTGAATTACAGAAGTAACAGTTATTTTATTAACATGAATTGGAGCACGACCATTTGAAGAACCTTTTGTTTTAATAGGTCAAATTTTAACAGTAATTTATTTTCTATATTATATTATCAATCCACTTATTAATAAATGATGAGATAATTNATAACATATTTAAAACACAACATAGGTTGAAACGGGGACGGGCAAAATGATTTGATGCTGGATTGAGCGCTATTAGCACTTGAAACTGTGGCACTCTTTTGACTTATACCTGGCCTATTTACATCACTGGTGGTTTGTTTGGACGTACTTTGTTCTTCATCACGGTGCTTATCGCTTCGACTTGCGTTGCTTCTGCTGGCTCATCCAACAGTTGGAGATTTGAAAAAGCCAAATCGTTAACAGTTTTGGCTCTTTTTCGGTTTTCCTTGATGACCTTTTCAGCTTTCGACTCAGCAAGAGTTTTAATCTGGGACGAGAATGTTAAATAAGCCAGGTACGGTTTCAAGTTTTCCCTCACAATCTAGAAAAAATCTGCTATTTGGTCCGATTAACTTAAAATTCGGTTCAAAGATGTTGTTTTGCTTAAGTTAACAGAAAGACTACACTTCTCTCCGGATACAGCTCGTAAGTCGACCGGAGGTAAGGCACCTCGTAAACAATTGGCGACCAAAGCTGCTCGTCAGACTCCTCCAGCAACTGGTGGTGTTAAAAAGCCGCTTCGCTATCGTCCCGTTACAGTGGCATTGCGTAAAATTCGTCGTTACCAAAAGATTACTAAATCATTGATCCGCAAACTGCTATTCCAACGATAAGTTTGTTAAATCGCACAGGATTTTAAAACAAATTTACGTTTCCAAAATTCTGCAGTTATGGCTCTACAAGAAGCTTGTTAGGCATATTTGGTTGGGTTGTTTGAGGGTACTAATTTGTGTGCCAACCATGCAAACGTGTTACAATTATGCCAAAATATATTCAATTAGCCGTGCATAGTTGATTTATAAATGATGCCCACAATTTTCCCAACAAAATTATCAAATAGAACAGACTGAAATATTTTTTTTTAGATATTTAGATAAATATAAAATATTATAGGTTAATTTAATTTCGTAACTAGAATTTAAATACATATATTGATATGTATGTATGTTGTAATTGGCCAAACATGCCGTTAGTGAAGTGGCTAAGGCCTTTTTTCAGGGCCAAAAATTATAATTTAACTAATTATATATTAAATGCCATAAAAATATTTGAAATTTTTTATGAAACTGAAGCAATAATATGAATATTTTCCATCGGCAGACTTCTTTTTGGTTTCGGCTTTTTCTGCAGGTTTTTATTGATTTTGGCTTTGATTTATCTTTTCTTGATTTAGAGTAGCAGCTGATAATTTAAATGATCCACTTGCACCCTTTCCTTTGGTTTGAATCAATTTTCTGATAGTAAGAGCCGATTTCAAATACCGTTTGATAAATGGTGCCAATTTTTGGGCATCACATTTGTATGTAGCACTAATATATTTCTTAATTGCTAAAAGTGAGTTGGTGTATGGATTGGTGCACCCGATATTTTTTCGGCTTAGTTGCCTTTTTTGCAACGACCTTTTTATCAGCAACCGCAGTAGCTCCAGCGGCCATCGGAGAGCTATCATTGGCAAAAGTAGCGGTATCAGACATTTTCACTTTGTTTATTGAAAAATAATTGCACAATTTATTTCTATTAAATATACACTTTAAGTATTGAAAACACTTAATACTGGTTTGAAGTTTTGAAGAGTTTGATGTCAAATTTTAAATGTCTTGAAAATTTAAGAAGCAATGTGAAAAGATGAGTGATATATTTTAACATTCTAGTGCTATTTGCCAATTGCAAATGAAAAACTTTCAACTTTATTTAATTTATTAAAATTCATGAATTGACTTAATCAAATAATTCCTTTGTCAATTGCTAGCTTAAGTGTTTTTCCTTAACTTGTAATCACAACAATTTCACAATAATTAATATTTATCAAAAAGTACGGATTTTCATCCAAACTTTGTTCCCAGAAACCTCAAAAATTGTCATTCAGAGTTAACTTTATTAAAATTTTTTGAAACAAACCAATCAGTTTTATTAATTTTCATAAGTACATCAAGTTATTCATGAAATAAATAATTAATATTAGACTTTTACAAAGAAATTGTTCTTTAAAATTTTTTTTTAATATTTCGATGTTTTCATTGATGCAACCTTAAGGGTATAGTGTGTTTATATACATATATCTATATATGCGTACATAATATTTAATTCATTATGTATTCTCATTAGACTCAAAAGTGAAAATGTAATGCTCATATGTAATAATTCTAGGCAGATTTTAAAAAAATTTTAATTTAATAAATTTTCGAAAATAATTTCTATGGAACATTGTACTATTGTGATAAATGTATGAAAATAAAGGAAGCCCCTAACACTACAATTGAAGGAAACTGTGTTCTCACCTTTTCTATTGTAACATTTTATCTATGTGTCAGTGTATGTTGCTTCGAGTCAAATGATAAGTCGCATTCAGCGGGTGCGAGCTCTGAAACGACAGTATTATCTGGACGATACCCATGCTCCCCTACTAACAACTGTTATTTTAAATTCTGTCCAATATTCTATGCCTAAATATACCTCTTGTTGTAATCCTGGCACTATTAGAAACTCAAGTTCCCGTGTCAGGCCAATCCACAAAACTGGCAGCTAATGACTCCTGTCACTGGAGTTTCTGCCCCGTTCGCTGTTTTTATATTTTAAGTTTTTTCCTTAACTACCTTGCTTTAATTATTTTGCAAGAATTTATCTGCGTTCTTTTCTAGGCAACATACTTTTGCGCCAGAATCTAATAGCTCCATAGCTTCTATTCCTCCCACCTTCGTTTGCGCAAAAAAACGGTTTTCACCCTTAATGTTTTATCTGTGGACTATCGTCGACACTATTTTATTGCGTGTTCCTCTGAACGGTTTATCTTTTTGCCTCATTCTTTGAAACTTCGTAAAATCTCCAGTTTTTGAATTTGACGTATTTTTGCTTATTTCTTCACAAAAAATTCTTTTACGTGCTATTTCATATTATATTTTGCGTTGATGCGAGCTTTTTATTTGGGGCTTATCTCATTGGATACTTCATTATCTTTTCTTTTTAGTATTTTAATGGCGGGTTTGATTTCGGGGTTTTCGGCATCGGGTTGGAGTTCCTGGTGATCCCCGCCACGCAGAAGATGCATCGTCGCCATATGCGGAACACACCACACACACAAAAACTCTCTTTTGAGGCCTCACTTGGGTTCTTTACATAAAAAATCTACGGGCTTACCATATTTAAAACACAACATAAGATGAAACGTGGACGGGCAAAACGATTTGATGGTGGATTGAGGGCTACTAGNTCTCTATTGCAACATTTTATCTATGTGTCAGTATATGTTGCTTCGAGTCAAAGGCTAAGTCGCCCTCAGCGGGTGCGAGCCCTGAAACGACGGCATTATCTGGTCGCGGTCCACTACTAACAACTGTTATTTTAAATTCTTTCCAAAATTCTATGCCGAAATATACCTCTTGTTGTAATCCTGGCACTATTAGAAACTCAAGTTCCCGTGTCAGGCCAACCCACAAAACTGGCAGCTAATGACTCCTGTCACTGGAGTTTCTCCCGCGTTCGCTGTTCTTATATTATAGTTTTTTACTTTAACTACCTTGCTTTATTTTATGGCGTATTCTTCTGAACGGTTTATCCTTTACCCTCATTCTGTGAATCTTCGTAAAATCTTCAGTTTTTGAATTTGACGTATTTTTGCTTATTGCTTCACAAAAAATTCTTTTACGTGCTATTTCATATTCTATTTTGCGTTGATGAGAGCTTTTTATTTGGGACTTATCTCAATCGATATTTCATTTTCTTTTCTTTTTAGTATTTTAATGGCGGGTTTAATTTCGGAGTTTTCGGCCTCTGGCTGGAGTTTCCGGTGATCCCCGCGAGCCTTTCATTTTACGTTGAAGGTTTAAAAACGCAGAAGATGCATCGTCGCCATATGCGAAACACCCCATACGCACAACAACTCTCTTTTGAGGCCTCACTTGGGTTCTTTACATAAAAAATCTACGGGCGTACCATATTTAAAATACAACAAAGTTGAAACGGGGACGGGCAAAACTTTTTGATGCTGGATTGAGCACGTGAAACTGTGGTACTGTTTCGACTTATACCTGGCCTATTTACATCACTGGTAGTTTGTTTGTACGGTACTTTGTTCTTCATCTCGTTGCTTATCGCTTCGACTTGCGTTGCTTCTGCTGGCTCCTCCAACAGTTGGAGATTTGGAAAAGCCAAATCGTTAAAAGTCTTGGCTCTTTTTCGGTTTTCCTTGATGACCTTTTCAGCCTTCAACTCAGCAAGATTTTTGATCTGGGACGAGAATGCTAAATTAGCCAGGTACGGTTTCAAGTTTCCCCTCACAATCTCGAAAAAATCCGCTTTTTGGTTCGATTAACTTGAAATTCGGTACAAAGATTTATTTTTGATTAAGTTAACAGAAAGACTACACTTCTCTGCGGATACAGCTCGTAAGTCGACTGGTGGTAAGGCACATCGTAAACAATCGGCGATCAAAGCTGCTTGCAAGACTGCTCCAGCAACTGGTGGTGTTAAAAATCCACATCGCTATCTTCCCGGTACAGTGCCATTGCGTGAATTCCAACGATTAGTTTGTGAAATCACACAAGATTTCAAAACAGATTTAGGTTTTCAAAAATCTGCTAAGGCCACAAATCATAATTTAACTAATTATATATTAAATGCAATAAAAATATTTGAAATTTTTTATGAAAGTGAAGCAATAATATAATTATTTTCCATCGGCAGACCTCTTTTTGGTTTTGACTTTTTCTGCAGATTTTTTTGATTTTGGCTTTGATTTATCTTCTCTTGATTTAGAGCAGCAGCTGATAATTTAAATGATCCACTTGCGCCCTTTCCTTTGGTTTGAATAAATTTTCTGTTAGTAACAACCGGTTTCAAATGCCGTTTGATAAATGGTGCCAATTTTTGTCATCACATTTGTATGTAGCACTAATATATTTTTTAATAGCCAAAAGTGATGAGCCACCACGTTCTTTTAAATTCTTAATTGATGCATCAACCATTTCTTGAGTTGGTGGATGGGTTGGCGCAGCTGATATTTTTTTCGGCTTAGTTGCCTTTTTTGAAACGACTTTTTTATCAGCAACAGCAGTAGCTCCAGCGGCCACCGGAGAGCTAACATTGGCAACAGCAACTGTATCAGACATTTTCACTTTGCTTATTGAAAAATAAATGCACAATTTATTTCTATTAAATATACACTTTAAGTATTTAAAACACTTAATATTGGTTTGAAATTTTGAGAGTTTGATGCCAAATTTTTATTGCCTTTAAAATTTGAGAAGCGGTGTGAAAAGATGAGTGACAAATTTTCATTGCACATTCTATTGCTATTTGCCAATTGCAAATGACAAGCTTTCAACAATATTTAAGTTAAAATTCCTGTATTAACTTAATCAAATAATTCTTTATGTCAATTGTTGCTTAAGTGCTTTTTCTTAACTTGTAATCACAATAATTTCACAATAATTAATATTTATCAAAAAGTACGGATTTTCGTCCAAACTTTGTTCCCAGAAAACTCAAAAATTGTCATTTAAAGTTAAATTTCATAAAATTTTTTACAACAAACCATTTAATTTTATTAGTTTTCATGAGTACATAAAATTATTCATGAAATAAATAATTAATATTAGACTTTTGCTAAGAAATTATTCTTTGCAATTTTTTTTCAATATTTCTGTGTTGTCATTGATGCGACCTTGAGGGTATTGTGTGTTAATATACATGTATATATACGTACATAATATTTAATTAATTATGTATCCTCATTAATATATAATTAATCATAGTAATTCTATGCAGATATTAAAAAATATTTAATTTAAAAAATTTTCAAAAATAATTTCTATGGGACATTATATATTTATACTCGTACGGAAATGCTTATCGAGAATTTTCATCAAAAATTGTACTCAAAAATGAAAATAAAATAAAATTTTATTTTGAAAATAATTGTGTCAACATGCAAACTTATTAAAATTATATAGAAAAACTACCAGCATATTCATACGAAAATATATATAAGGCATGCACATTTAAGTTATACAAAAGATATTCTTCAGCTATCATTTCTTAGCTATATCTGTTAGTATTCAAACAGCACAGACATGACAATCAGAGCTACAAATATAATCAAATTTGCAGGTACATACGTGTATGAACATAAATGTATATAGTAATATAAAATAATACATAGATTTAAATTAATTTTGTATATATCCTAGTTTCGATTCTTTGTTTATTAATCATTGTGGTCCTGAAAAAGACCGTTGTTTTTCTTCTTTTGTCTTATGTTTGCCAAAAAATAAACGAAATTTTTTAACCGCCGAAACCATATAAAGTACGTCCTTTCCCCTTCAAAGCATATACAACATCCATTGCTGTGACGGTTTTCCTCTTAGCATGCTCGGCATTCCCCAAAAACACTTTTAAAACATCACGATTTTCTTCATATGTCAATCCAGACATATGTTTTACGCCACCAGGGCGAGCTAAACGACGAACAGCTGGCTTTGTGATACCTTGGATGTTATCACATAACATTTTCCGATGACCTTTACCCAAACCCTTCCACCTTTGCCGCGACTAGTCTTTTTTTTTTCTTTGCTTATAGTTTTCTCAATAATAAGAAATACACTTCACTCACTATAAACAGCGATTATGCAGCAGCATTGCTGCAGGTTACTTAGATATTTCTATCTCATTTTAACACATGCGCAAATTTCATTTTGGCCAACCCTAAAAGAAATTAACTTATGAAACAATATTATGTATTTTATTACTTGTACATCGACATTACGGCATCATTGTGGGAAAAGTGCAGTGTATACTGGTATTTTGTGGTGGTGATTAATTTTGTGTGAAGAATTAAAGTGTTAAATAATGGCTCGTATAGTAAAAAGCCCGTAAGTCGACTGGTGGTAAGTCACCTCGTAAATAACTGGCGACCAAAGCTGCTCGTAAGAGTCTCCAGCACAATTTTCCAAACAAAATTAACAAGTAAAACAAACTTAAATAATTTTCTTACATATTTATTGTAGATTATTACCAAATATTTTAGTCCACTTTAACTCGTAATAATAATATAAAAATATATATTCATATACTCATGTATGTATGTACATACTTGAATACATTTATGTATATGTCTTTAAATATACAAATGCGACCTCTTTGGGCTACTGAACTTCTTCCACTTCGTTTGGTAAATATCTTTGTATATACACACAAAATATATGTATGTAAGTATACATATACTTATATGCACATGTATGTATGTATGCAATTACTTGAGTTGAGTTTATTTATTTATTAAATTATTTAACCGCAGTTTTATATATAAAAATTTATTATAATCTCTTTGAACACATATTATGTCGTCCTGAGAAGGGCGGTTTGCATTTGGTCAAGTCTCTAAGGACTTGAGGGAAGTGAGGTGGTTTGTTGGTGCGTCGAGTATTAACAGTTCGGAAAGTGACCTTCCGCGTTCTCGCTTGGCCCTCGCGAACGTCATGTCCTGACCGATGAATCATCGTGTGGTGAGCTAGGCCGCAACGGCGGCAGTTGTCGGGGCTATCACAGGCTCCCGTGGTGTGAGATGTGGCTAAACAGTTAAGGCAATAACGATGTACCTTGGCCGACTCATATCGCTCTTCAGGGGTCATTGCTATAAATACTCGGCAGAAACGCAATGAATGTGTGCGGCAGCACAGCCTGCACTTTCCAAAGTTCTGTGATCTGAAAAGACATCATTCGAAAAGCAATTTTAGTATTAGATATTAGCATATTAGGAGAGTGGTAAATTCTTCGAAGGAGAACTTTTGATTTCCAGCGACTTTAGTGAAGTGAGTTTTGAAGCTTTTCACTGCCGCTTTCCAAAGTTTTCCCATATGTGGAGCAGTATAAATTGCCGTGTAAGTCCGAAACTTCCTCAAGGAAGGAGGATAGTTCTCTTTGTAGGCTTCGCTGTGCTCCTACGAAAATATTTCCGTTGTCGGGCACTATCTTGTGGGGAATGCCTCTTCGTCCTACAAATCGTGCAAATGCTGCCTTAAACGCTTTTGTTGTTAGGTCGGAACTACTTATTCATCTGGAAGTAGAAGCCTTTATCGAGAAATGCACGAATACACACACGTATGCTTTGGAATGGGAGGCTCGACGGAGAGTCGATGTTTTGACGAGGAATGGGCCGGCANTTCACATCTAAAGATTTCTTACTTTTTGCATTTGCTATTTATTCAAAATCACTTATTTATCTGTACATCATTCGATATCATAACTTTTCAACGCTTCAGTCGCGGTTTAGTCCCAGAAATTTGTAGGAATAATAAAACAGTCCTATTTCTTATTCAATATATATTAGATGTGTATTTATTGAAAATCAAATAGCAACTGTCTTTTTGGCCTTCTGACTGCTGAGCGCAACATTCATTCGTTCAGTTAGTATTGCCTATATTCCGTCTGGCAGGGCTACAGCTAGGCCATTTATATCTACAAGGTGTTAAAACAATTAGATCCCGATATTGGTATTTCCTCGAAGGCAATGAGTATAATGAATAGTTTTGTTAATGACATTTTCGAACGAATTGCCGCTGAGGTGTCGCATTTGGCTCACTATAACAAACGTTCAACTATTGTCCATTAAGAATGTATGTTTGTGTAACGACAAAAGGCCCTTTTCAGGGCGACATAATATAATTTAACTAACAGATTCAAATATATATCTTAAATGGCTATGCAATCTATGCAAAAAAAAATATTTGAAATTTTTTTGGGAAACTCAGGTAATAATATGATTATTTTAGTAGTCAAAAGTATCAGTACATTTCATTATGAAAAAGTAGTCACTCTCAAATGATCTTGCGGTCGTGGTACTGCCATTCGGAAGGCTCGGGCTCAAACCCTGGTGTCATACTAATATCCAAAAAAATAATAGAAAATTCTTTAAATACAAAATTAAGCTAAATTTACTAATTGCGATCGCATCTCGGAAGGGAATGTCAACCCCTTCGAGTGTATTTCCGACAAGAAATCAAAGCTCATAAAAAAATCATCAGCCATTCGGAGGCGGCTTAGTATGTATAAACCGTATGTCCCTCCATTTGTTGGAAAAAC